CTGCCTGTCTGCCTTGCTTTTACCGCAGGGTGGATCTCCCAACTTGCGACGCCTTGCCCTGAAAGTGACAAGTCACCGCTCCTTAAGATTTTATTTGATTTTTTTTTAGGGGGGGGGGGAGGGATTTTGGCGTTTGGGGCGCCGGTTTCGCCGTGTCCTTGCTGTAAACCGCGAACCCGTTGCTATGCGCTTCCCAGTTCAGTCCCTTTATTTCTCTGTGACGACGCCAGCGCTCCGCTATCCTTGGGAGTTGTTCGGCAGCTGATGCAACCCCAACAGGCAGGAGGTGGCTCATGGCGAATTGATGTTATAAGACTTGAGTGCCTCCATCAGCTGTATGCGTGCTCGCACATGTGGATGGTGTGTTGTATGTGTATAAAGAGCATTTTAACCTTCGAAGGAAAAACTAGAAGCCCAGAAGAATGGTTGTAGTACGTACAAGGATACGGTATCTTTTTCAAGGCTGCTGTTTTCGTTCTTATATAACGTTATTTATCGATTGTTAAGGCTCCCCCAGGGAGTGGTGATTCTGGCCTTGCAGCTAACCTGAATCACAAGATGGGGTTGATCTGGCATAGGCCTCAGGTGCCTGTTGTGTCGCCACTTCCCTCCAAGACCCCGTTGCTTTTGCTCAGTCGAATTGCAGTGTATCCTGGACACTTGGCTGTTTATTTCAGACGGCATTTTGTTTCTTGCAGTGTTCCTGTAAAGCATTCTTAAATGCAGCTGTGGTGGGTGTTCTCTAACCGTGAGTAAGCCTTTTCTTTTGCAATAAATGGCTCTGAATGTGGATCCCCATTTTCTTTTAGACACCCAGCAGGCAGGCGGTAGTTTTGGATGGAATTGTTTGTGCAGCTGTAGGGTGTTCATTCTGCTCAAGTGGCCTTTAAGGAATTTTTGGGCGTTAGGATCATTCTGAGCAGAAGTCATCTGAATGATGTAGTTCTGTCATTGCCAGTATTAATTGTGTGTGATTTGTTATTAAGTTAGCATTTTACACACTGTGGTAGGAAGTATGTTTTTAGAAAGAGCTTTGCCATCAAAATACTGCTGAAGTGATTAAGTAAAATAAATACACCACCTTCTGACAAGTGTCAGTTTCCATTTAGTTTTGTTTTATATTGCTGAAGTTGTCTGTGCCAGTTCAGCTTCTAGCTGAAGAAGCTATTGAAATCACAGCAGTGTATTTCTACACTCAAGAGGGACAAATAAGATTGTATACTGCATCCAGCAGGTGAAACATCCAGTTTTAGTGGAATGGTAGTTTAATCTGGGTGTCTGTGACCTTTCTAAATCTGTTCCAGTGCCTTATTTTTCTTAGTTTGTTAGGTCTTGTGAAATTTAATCTGTTATTAAAAAGGTTTGAACTCAAGTTCATTCGTATTTTGTCCTTCATACATTTAATATTCAGCAAGCATGAAGAATTTATATTGGGGCCTGAAATCTCTTTACAAGAGATTTTTAGATAACAGATGAAAGTGTGAAAGATTTGCTTTTGCGATTGTGGTATTTTACTTTTGAGAAGATATGAAACATCATAAGGATTTAGAATATTTCATTGATGCAGTAGTCATTTATCAGTGGACACTCTCAGCGTGTCATACGGGGAAATTCTTTGTGCTTTGGGGAAATGGGTAAAGCTCCACTGCTTTAAATACTTAGGTCGGAAATTAATTGCCTACTTGCTTGGCTTCAAACATTTTTTTTTTTACCCCATATTTCTACCCCTTCTGTCCTGAGATGTTGGAGTAAATCTTCTGTCTGCTGCTGCAGATGGACATTGTGTATGCCAGAAATGTTCACACAGGGGACAGGCATTGCCCGACATTCAGGTTGGTCTTGGTTTATAATGCTTAGCAAATATGTGGCCAGCGGCATCATTGTCAATCTACCATCTGTCCTTGAGAGTCTGCAACCCTTAAATTGCATCTTCCTTCGAAACGATGCTCCACTGGTGACTTTGACTTGTGGTTTTCTCATTTTGCAGGATTTTAAAATTGTGTTGGCAACTCCTACTTCACAATTGTGAATTTAGTACTATTAGATCTCTCGCACCTGTTAAGGCTCATGGCTGTAAATGTTATAAACAGAAGTTGCCTTTTCCCCCTCTGAAATAAAGCTGTAATTTAGGCTTCAAAGTTTATACCTCTTATTTTCCTTGTCATGTTTGAACTCCCCTGTGATGAGGAAGGCCAACAATGATGAGGGAATTTCCTGATTACAGAAATGTTTTTTTTTTTCCGTTTGATAGGTAATTGATGTACTTTGCTTTTTGAGATCTTATGTCTGCTCTTCCACTGAAGTGTTTGTATCCCATAATAAACAGCAGCTCCATTGAGAGACTGCATATCAGTGTGTGAGAGAAAGTGTGGACGTTGACTGCTGTTTTCTTCATCTAGATTCAGTGCATCAGGAATTGCCTTTTTTGCCATGTGTCCTAAACCATGTTATGCTTGTGCTATATGCAAATTTCATAAGACTGGGTCATATTGATAGTCGTATTGGTTTTACCAACCTTTTTGAAATGGGAAATGCAAAATATTCATTATGCTGAATGAAACTAAAGCTTACGCATTTTTAATAACTAGTTAATTCATATAGATAGATAATACTTTATTAATCCAGTAGGGAAATTGATATACTGAAATACTTGTTTCTTCTCTTTCTTTATTGGGGCAAAACAACTGTTAGTGTGGCATATGTACAAATATGTCCCAGAGTCTCTTTAAAATGGTTCTATCTACAGTTTAGCCTCTCTTTACTTCTCAATACGTTGTAATATTGGCATAATATTTTTGGTGTTTTGCCAGCTATGGGTGTTTGATTCAATGTGTTGTTTGAAACTAAGAGTTTACACCTCATTGGAGTTTTGTGGTGTTTTAATTTCTCAGAATAAAACCTAGTGGGCACTGTGTGGGTAGTGAGCTTTTCAGGAAGCCTAGATAGGCCTGACAGCAGTGCACGCTTAAGTAACATTGCATTTTCTGTTTCGATTAATGTCAAGTAAGATTGCTTACAGCAGTGCTTCCCAAACATAAGTGTCCACAGCACAAAAATTGATTTTAACACTGTTGTATGAAATATTCGAAATTCTTTGTTTAGAACTTCACAGTGAAATGTGAGTGTTTCACTAAACAAACCTGTTTAATATTGGGTTCTTACTGCACAGAATTCTTGATCTACACTTTTTAAACCTGGCCTTCCAGACATATTGGAGAACTTTCCATAGCACACAGTTTGGGAAGTGCTGGTTTACAGTAATCCCATCTGTTCTGAACCTCTTCAAGTAATGAAGTATGAAATGCCTGACACCATCTTATTATGAAACATTTATGGAGAGCACTCAGACATGGGGAAAAAAATAAACGGTCAGCTTTTCTGAAGCCAAGAAATAAGAAAATGTGCTACAGTGACGTTTCTATTTGAGATATTTACACTGTCATGTGCTTCTAAAAATCAATAAACACTGCAAATGGAAATCTACATCTGTACAGATGCAAAGTTACACGGGTTTGGAAACCCTTTGTTTAATATTGTAATCCTATATTTTAGATCAATTTTTAATCTGTTGAAGAATGTTATGATGGCTTTTGATAGCTAAGAGTGGATCCTGAGTATTAGCCTGTGATCATTGTTGTGTTAGCTCTAAATTCCAATTAAGATGTCCATATTTTCATTTCAAATACATTTCCTTGCCTGGCCTGTTCAGCAAGTTCATTTGCAGGAATTTAGTACACTTTGGTTTTACTCTACTCATGTCATGTGTACTACGTCTTTTGTGAACTGCTTGTGTGAGAGCACATTTCTAATCCCTTTATCTTCAGGCAGCGTGTCTGCTCTGTGTATTAAGCACAAAACTCGTTTTTCAGTCTCCTGCTGCTGTCGCAGATTTTTTTAGCACCAAGAAGTAATCAGTGCTAGACACTTCACCAAAGCTGGTGAACCAGCAGACAGTTGCTAAGTAAATACTCTCCACCTTCATTATAAATACTGCTGTGCTAAGGGTTCCATGTATTGTGGGTTATAACAAGGTGCATGCTGATAGTGAAACACCAGTGTTGCAGGATATGATGAGTTGGAAGCTAAGCCTTTTGCAGTGATAGCAGCATACCAGTGCCATTTATTTCAAATGTACAAGAGCACCTGGCGGGTTTGCTTAGTTAAGTGGTTTGCTAGAATCAGTCGTGCTGTTTTATTATGTTTTGTTTGGCTTGTGGCTAATTTCTTGCTGCAAAAGTACAGTGTAGAGTTAAATCTAAAACATTAAGTTGGGTACTTCAGGTAAATTGTTCTTGTTGATGCATTGTTAATCAGGTCCTAATGTTATGAGTCTGGAGCAAAATTAACATTGCTGCAGTAGTAAATTTGTAATTAGAAACAAAGCTTTTTACAAGGAATTGAACTTAGTTCATTCTCACCAAGTGCAAAGGCTTGTGAGAGGAAGTTTGTACCTATTGTGCAGATGCTGTTAACACTGAATTGGATGTTTAGGCTATCTCGGTATATTTCAACATTGATTTAATTTAAAAACACTATTGGGATTTACCCTGGAAAGATTTCTTTATTTAGCATATTTGTACATATGTATCAGGAAATATTGAAAAACGTTGCTTCAGTAAAGACTATTTATTTGTGTTTCTTACTTTCACACTTTTCCAGAGTGGAGTTGGGAATTAAAAATGCATTTTATCACACATGGAGGAATTTGAGGTGATTAACCCGTGACACTGTTTTTTCCTCAATTAATCAGAAATACAATAGTGATAAAACACCCTGCTTTTGTGTTTTTGAAATGATACCTGTGAGCTTTAATATATAAGCATTTGTTTTTTCTGCACGTTTTATCGAATAAAACTTAAATGGACCTCATCCAGTCACCTTTTAAGAGCATGACTAGGTAGATATTTTTTTAGATCCTGCACCATTTTCCTTAAATTAAAAAATCTTTTTTTTGTCAGCCCTATCCATGTCTATTTTAATTTGTCTTGCAGTTGGTTTTGAAACTGTTTAGAAAAAGGAAAATCAAGAAATTCTCAAACTAGAATTCCTACTAGTAGCCTTGGATTGCATTTTGTGTTTTGATTGAATTTTTGATTGATGCTTCAAAAAAAATAATTTTTTGAAGAGGATGACTGGTGTGCAGCAGATTGAAGTAGGCATTCTTAAGGCCAAGCCACATGCCCTGAGTAGCCGAGCACAACTTTAGAGCAGCAGGTTCTGCACTGTGATACTTAAGCCTTTTTCTGCTCCCAGACTTTGATGTTCTGTATAAATTGCTACTTTATTCAACCCAGCCTTCTAACTTCATATTGCAAGGCGTTTGTATCATTGCAGATTCACCTCTTACAAGAATTGAAAGAAAATTTGGTTCTGCCTGCTATTCCTTCTGATGGTGCAAATAGTGTTGACTGAACACTTTGCAGTAACATGAATTGATTTTGTACCAGGTAAATGTTTGGCTCTTAAAATGAATTCAGAGAAGTTTATCGAAATCTTTTGTAGAAAAAATAAGGTGCTGTGTCATCAACCTGTTAAGCACTGATATACACTCATCATATAGCATGAGGCCAGTCCCGCCCAGGCTGTAACAAACAGGGTGGCAGGGAGAGGGCCCCAGCAGAGCTGTTAAAGCAATGATGTCAGTGATCAGAGGTCAATCAGAGCTGGCAGTCTTTTTAAAGTACATTATACCTATTGGTGATAAACACTCTTTTGAATTAAGGTATTAAGTCCATTCTTGATAAGAGTTTGAAATTTCCACTTAGATTTTTAGTCCCTTTTTTGTTATGACCATTTGCAGTTCAACTTTGTACTAATTTAAGCGATTCAAACCACAGTCCATTAAGAATTTAATTCAGCATCACAACTCATAAAATCATAATGTGATGCATGGCTAAACTGAAAATATTTTTGTTGCTTTCTAAGGTTTAAACAAATTCATATTTGCAGGAGGTACTGGTAGTGGCTGTGAATGTTTACATGCTCTCTGGGCTACCCTGACCATAAAATTGTGGTGAACAGTTATGCCACAAGCATGCCAAAAGGTTGTGCATGAAATGGTGCTTGGAATGTCATGACATTCTTTTCAAGTCTTGGGGAACTGAGTGTCAGAGCTGCTTACTTAACATTCCTTACTACATTGCTAAACTGTCATCTGCTCTCATGGCTGTCATGGATTTGTTGTGTTTTCTGTAGTGGGCTGGATTTCCTGATCCAGCTCATGATGAGCTAAGAAGCTTAAAGCAGTTGTCACCCTTGATGTCTTTAAAGTGCTGTGAACTGAGATGCTTTGAATAAGGATCCGTTCTTATAGTCTCTATTCACATTGTAAACGTTCTGTGAATGCAGAAATTTTATGTTTTGAGATTGTTGAATCAAAGAGGTGAATGATATACTATCATTTTTATCACTACCCCTATTTTCAAGAATGATATTAAAGGTTGCAAATTAAAGAAGATCATTTGACTCTGTTGACCTCAGGATCTCATCCAGCCCGTCTTGAAATATTCAGGGTATTGACTGCAACAGATTCGTTTGTTTCAATATTTGTAGTTTGTTCCATATTCATTAGGATGTCCTACTATGTAGAAATGCACTATGCACCTATGTTAATATACATAAGTTGTTGTTTGAGTGTCAAAACAAGTTCATATTCGTTTTTTTTATATCTTACTGTGTCAGATGAATGATTTGAGAACAAATTCTTATTGACATTAATGACATGGAAGATGCATTTATAAGGCATACAGGAAGTCTTTTACTGGGGGCAATCTTAAGTTGCTCAAAGGTGAAACAGTATCCCACCTGGACTTTGATCCTGCTGCCATCAGGTTTGGGGTCAAGAACACTGACCATTATTCCATGCCATTGCTTTTCTTCATCACAGTAAAGAACCTGTCAAGTGCTGTATAACTTCTAATCTCGTTTATTCTTAATGTTGTAAAACATTTGACACAAGGTAGTGTTGTTTCTTTTTCTGAGAGCTGCATTTCAATCTGATACAAACCATTTTGGCTTTAAATTTCTACTTTATAGTTTTCTGTGGCAAGGAGCAGTGCTTTAACTAGTGTTTGTCAGTTTCTGGTCAAAGTTGCAGAGAACTATGTGGTGAAAATGGATAACCGGGCATTTGATGGTGGAACTGTTTAACTGAATCATCACTTCACTCAAAGATTTGAAAACTGAGTCAAGGGACCTTATTAAATCCGAAATAACGTCTCTGAATGCTTTTGCTTCAAACTGGATGAGCCAATACCCATATTTTTGCACATGATCACTTTGAATTTTCACAAATGTTCACAGACCAGTATTCTGTGTTTTCTCTAACTATGGATTGCACTTAATGCAGAGTAACAGAACTAGAAAACAGAGTAAAATGCAAGTAAATGCTGTTTGAACAAAATCCCCCCCTTTATCATTTTCCCCCCTCTTCTGTTCCTTTGCTGTTGCTGTAGTAGTTGACTCTCCTGATTGTTTGCTTACTGAGGCTTATTTGTCTTTCCATAAGCCAAGGGCACCTCCCAGCTGAGGAATGACTACCCTGTAACAAAGCTGCAGCACAGAGGGGACCATTTTACTGGGGTGATGCAGGGTCAGTTGGTTCTATATTGGGGTGTGAGGGGCAGGAGATAAAAACTGGTAGACTTTTATTTATTTCTTCATCTTTTTCCCCCCCTCTCCCAGATGAAATGAACGCCATTTGTTGAATGTCTGCAGACTGCCTACGGATCCTGCACGTGGAGATTGGATTTTGGAGAAGAGTTTCGTGTTTTTCTCAAGCCCCCAAGCGGCGGACCTCCTTGCAAGCCGGAGCCTGAGCTGGATTTCTGATCCCCCTGTGAGGGAGACAGCCGCTGCTGCAGAAGCCTTCTCCTGCCCTTGCAGCCACCATGGTGCTGTCACAAAGACAACGAGATGAGCTGTAAGTCCCTCCTGACACTCTCTTCAGGTGTATGTCGTACCTGGTAGAAATCCTGGCTCAGTCTGTTCAAGGAGAAAACAGGTCTGCTTGGGTTTCCCATGTCTCAGATGTCTAAAGGCATCTTTAAAACACAATGCCCTCCTTTCAGTTTATACCCAACCACAGGTATCCACATATACCCTTTGTATATGGACTAAGTTTATTTCAATATATTTAAAAATAAATTATTTAATTTCAATTGCATATTTGAGTATTCGAGCACCACACAAGTCCCTTTCAACATCAAGCCTGTTGCAGTGCTTATTTGTGATCATTAGAAGTGCAGAAAATCCATGTTTGCTGGCCAAATTAAACGCAGTCTTCGTTAACGGTTTATACGATTATAAGTTTCTGCTTAGAAATTGTTGTAGTTGTTGTAAAAAAATGTTGACTTATAGTGTTTATAGTAAAAAAATGTTCTAAAGAGTGTGTCGGATATCTTGACTTGAGAGAGACTGTATGCTAGACTTAAGGTTTAGGTTTTACAGAGATTTTAGAATTTTGGTTTGTACAGTGAGATATTGTACAATATATCTTCCATTCTTCACATACCAGCTTGTTGAAAGACATTGTTTCAGGTCAGACATTGTATGATTGCCATGTTATTTAATACTCCTCATACCTGTGTGGAAGATCATTTAATCCCCTTTCCTTTGAATCAGTCAGTGTAGCCCCAGGGTTTTGCCCTCTATTTTTGATGTCGGCCTGCCATACAAAGGCTGGATTTCCCTCACTGCTCTATCCGGTTCTCATTAAACAGAAATCCATTTCATTCTATTACCAGACAGTTGTCTGGGACTAGATTTATTATGCATGCAGTATCTGTCACATATGTGGTGTTTAAAATGAACTGTAGAATAAGCTGCACTAGCAATTTGACGTTATTTTATCATATCAAGTCCACTAATATCTGCTCCCTGAAGGCTAAGGCTTGCAAAGATGAAAAAACGCCGTCTTTGAGGGAACGTTAATCAGTTGTACAACACCTGAAGGGAGATTTATACCCACCCACAATGGCAACCAGACAGTATTCTTTTCAGTATCTTCACGTTAAAACATTCCATTCCACACTGTTCACAGATATGAAATGGTTGGTATAATTATTTAAATATTACATCTGCATTTATTATTTATTTTGAGGTAGGTAGATAATGCCACAGTAAGTGCTGTCTTAAAATGAACAAGGCCAGTTAGGAACCAATTACAGTTGCCATTTGTTGAGCTAATGTTTAATGAGAAAGTCTTTGTATCATAAGTGATAGCAACACTCTCTGGGAATAGATTATAAAATGAAGAGCTTTTCAAGCTATTGTCCCAAAAGTTTCAAGAACTTAGTTTAATTCAATCCTTAAACAAGTTCTTTGTTGTTCATGTGTCTAATTGGGGTTTAATAAAAAACAGACTGATCTTTATCCTCTGTAAATCATAGTGAAGTATGGGTATACACAGTTTAAACCCATGCTTTGTGGCTAGCTTAGGTATGCATTATCTAGTAAGTACACAAGATAAATATTTTGTTCCAGGGCCTTAGGGTGTTCCTCAGAAAAGCACAAAGCTGCTTGTCACATGGAGAAAAGTGTCATAATCATCTGGCCAGCCCGCTGGAATTGTGTTTATGAGTAAAACTCATCACTGCTGTACAGGACACTTGTTTCTTTTCCTTTCCATAACCACTGCAGTTTGCGAAAATCCTCACTTTCAGAAAACTTGCATTGATTTTTGTTGGAAGCATATTTGTGTTCTTTGGGTTGTGCAAAAATCAATTGAGTAACAACTCACAAGAGCTTGGGAAAGTCCCACAGGGCTTAACCTCTCGGGCATCGATCATTTTCATATCACTGCATGCACAGCAATAAAACATTGCTGACATAACCTTGTTGTACGTCTTAGACATTAAGTGAAATGGATCATTCTCAAATATTCAGGAACATGTCCAAATAGTAACCAAAAATTCAAGAAAACTTGTATATTTGTCTTAGGGTTGTAAAAAGGCTGCATCTTCTTAAATCTGTGGAGATTTTGTTTGCTTTGTACAAAGTAATTAACCCCTAATGTGTCTAGATGGATGAGGATCAGGGACTTAAATAGGCTTGTCAGATTCATGGGATGATGTTTAAAGGAAGCTTTAAATTGTAATGTTTTTTTCAAGACCTGTAATCCTGTAAATCACAAGTTGAGACATAGCAAGTGGGGGATTTGTTTAATTAACAGATTTAATCATGTAATTTAAAAATATAGATCTCATACTGTGAATTACTTCAATTTGCATTAATATATTGGAATATAGCCCTAGAGAGATTCTGCAGTGGTGTTGATTTTAACTTTGTAGTAACTATATTTAGGCACTCTAGTGTTTCATAGAAGAAATTGGATAGTATGCTTTTGTGATATAAGTTGTCAGTTTTTTCTTTTGAATTTTCTTTAATTTGGTAAATGCATGCCCTTTAAAAGTTGTAAAAAAAAGCCATAAGTATGCTGGTTCTTGGTTGTAAAGCCTATCAGGGTTTTGCCAAAATAGAGGCTGGCTGGTGAGAATGATCACGTCTGATGTACAGCATCTGTTCCATTAGGATTTTGCTGCTAGTTACAAATCAGAGCTAAAACTGTTTGACGTTAAACCACCAAAACATTGCTGAGGCCTGCGTTCTACGGGCTTTTCGCAGTAAAGCTTTAACTTCTGGCAAGTCAGAGAATCCTAGTGGGAGACTGAGTAGCCATCTTGAATCATAACTGTTAAAACAATGGCTGGAGGAGTTGTGGATATTTTGAGCGAGGAGATGGTGACAGTGACCAGCTGACCCCTCGGCTAAGCATTCTTTTTATTCCTTGCATGCGTCTTCTGTCCTGTAGCTGTGCACCCGTGGCCTGAAGCGTCTCTTCTGAGTTCTCATCAGGTTTCAGTAACATCAAGGTCTTGGGTATTCTTTTCTAGTGCACAGATTGTGGGGCCAGTTTTTTTGTAACCCTAAACTTCAGGGGTATTCCAGTCACCAAACCTGAGTTACATTAATTCCAGAAAATCTCAAGGAAAATAAGTAAATCCCAAACTGATTTAGCTCCGTAATTAATAGCCATTTTATTTAACGATTAGGAAAACGCAAGGTATGGGTTGCTAGGCTTTGTGTAAATTTAGAGTTTAAAGATTTTCCCTAACTAAAATCTAATGGAAGTTACTTTGCAAATATTCTAGATATTGAAAAGTTAAACACATAATATTATGAACTTATTGGATATTTTTCTGAGATGCATTCCTAAAAAACTGGGCATTTCCTTCTGTTCTCCTTGGAATATGTAAAACATCATGTTTCTGAATCAGATTTTGATTTGATGAGCTCCACCCTTTAATAGTAATATCCTGCTAAAGGTGAGTTGCAGAAAATTATCCTTTTTATCTGGCAATATTTTAAACAAGTTATAGTGAAAATTGATTAGGATTACAACAGATGTGATGCAAGTTGTATATGGTGGTTGCTGACAAAATAGCTTTGTTTTAAATCAACAACATAGCTCAGTACTGCAGACAACTTTCTTCACTATTGCTTAATTATATTTGATTAGATGAGGATCTTCTTTTTACCCATACAAACCCAAGAAATGTTTCTCTGTTTTTTTTTATTGTGATGTGGATACATTTGGTTTTGACCTTTAAAGAGAATATTTATTTATAGATGAGCACAAAATGATAGTGGAAGAAACATTTTCCTGGTATTTTGAAAACTGAGAATGCTGAAACCACAAATAGATCACTTTCCAGATCCCCAAAGGCAAGTGACATTGTGTACTAAAATTAGGTTGTACTTAACAGTAGTTGTGCTCACCAGAAAATATTCCTATTTAATATAAATCCTGATTTTTGGAAGCTCTCTAACGTTACTGTTTGCTCTGGACATTATGGACTATCAGGAATACAGACATTTAAAATACTATAATAACATGAGTTTATAGTTTTCTGTTAGCACATTATTGTGTTGTATCCCCGGCATGAAGAGCAGTTCCCTGCTGAATTTATAGTACTAGTTTGTGAATGAAGCTGTCTGTAGGTGGAACAGGATGTAAAGCTGTTTTTAAAAAGCAGCCCAAGAAAAGAGGGAAGCAAACCCAGAACGGAAAAGGAAGTCTTCATTGATAGTGGCTGAAGTGACTCTGCTTTTGATTGCAATTTTAAAAGCAGGAATCGTAAAAGTAAAATGAGCTTTCTGTGTTTTACCTGTGTTTTCTTTTTTTTTAGCTGTGTGTTTCATAGTTTTTCCACTGGTAATGGATTGTCTCCTATTACAATGCTTTAATCAAATTGAAATCCTTTGTGGAAAGTCTGGAATATGCTGCCTGTTGAGTTGAGACGTGGTGAATGGATCCGCTGCAGGTGGTTGAGTGCTATGGATTTAATTCAGTATGGCATCTGAGGTGACTGAGATCCTACTGTTCTCCTAAGTTGTACCAGTCTTCTTTTTTTGTCTGGTTAGTATTTCCATGCAGGTATGCTTTGAGATCTATCCTTCACCCATTTTAACAGTCATAGTTATACTATGTTGGTTTGCATTTTCAGATTTTATTAATTTTGACCTGCTCCTCAGTTTGGTTAATTTAAAAGAGGGATGGATAGCCTATGAACTGTATAAAAGCTCAGTTTCATCACAAAACTATGTATTGTTAAGAGGCTTTAAGCTTGTTTACCAAAAGCGTTTTTTACAACTGTTTTTATTATGCCTTGTTAACTGTTATTTATAAATGTATAGGGCTCCAAGGCTAAACAGAGGAGAGATTGTATTTTAAATGGAACAGTGCTTTTCTTTGAGCAGGGTTTCACTATTTGCAGTGGTGATAGCATTGTGCTGTGTGGTGCTGTAGCACACAGAGGGAAGGCCAGTTAAGTGTAGTAGAAGCCCATTGCTTACAAGGCCTGGAACAAGGGGCAACACATCGTATAATTACTTTAGTTATTGGAAAATATTTATGCATTT